CCCTCTTTTTCTCATTTCTCTCTCCTCCCCCTCCTCTTCTCTCCGTCTCCTTCCTCTCCCTCCTCCTTCTTTCATCTTTCTCTCCCTTCCTCTCCATCCTCCTCCTCCTTCTTCATCTTTCTCTCCTCCCCCTCCTTCCTCTCCGTCTCCTCCTCCTTCTTTCTCATCTTTCTCTCCTCCCTTCTCCCTTCCTCTGCCGTCTCTCCCTCCTCCTCTCATCTTTCTCTCCGTCTCCTCCCTCCTTCTCTCATCTTTCTCTTCTCCTCTCTCCCTTCCTCTCCGTCTCCTCCCTCCTTCCTGTCTTCCAAAACGCTTGACAGGTAACAATCATAACTCCAAGTCGAGACAAAGAATTCACGAACATCACCAGCTTCCGGTTCGAGGACGGTCTCGAGGGCGACGCTTCGGCCAGACTTCCGCTCAAGACGTAACCCCAACTCCCTCCTCCTCCTCTCCTCCTTCCTCCTCTTCTTCTTTCTTCTTCTTCTTCTTCTTCTTCTTCTTCTTCTTCTTCTTCTTCTTCTTCTTCTCTTCTTCTTCTTCTCTTCTTCTTCTTCTTCTTCTTCTTCTTCTTCTTCCTGCTCTTCTTCTCTTCTTCTTCTTCTTCTTCTTCTTCTTCTTTCTTCTTCTTCCTCTTCTTCTTCTTCTTCTTCTTCTGCTTCTTCTCTTCTCTCTTCTTCTTCAGCACCCCCCCATCAACCCTCCTCCCCACAACCCCCATCCCCACACTTCCCTATCCCCACATTCTTCATTTCGTTTATCCCCCCCCCCCTTCTCTCTCTCTCTCTCTCTCTCTCTCTCTCCTCTTCTCTCTCTCTCTCTCTCTCTCTCTCTCTCTCTCTCTCTCTCTCTCTCTCTCTCTCTCCTCTCTCTCAATCTTCCCCAACCCCCTGTAACCCCACCCTCCCAACCCATGACCATTTCACATTCCCCCTTCGTTTATCCCGCCCCCCTTTTCCTCTTCCTCTCCCCCTTCCCCTGCCCTTTCCTCCTCCTCCTCCTCCTCCTCTCCTGCTCCCCCCTCCTTCCGCGCACGTGTGTTGTCTGCGCCCGCGGGCTTCTGGTGTTTACCTCGGGATCACTAAACCACATGTACCATTTTCTGACTCCCTTTTCCGCCCTGTTTATTCTCCTGTTCCTTTCACCTCTCCTTCTGCCAACACGGTATCATCCCCTTTCACCCTTGCTAATTCAGCCGTTCTCTCATCCGCTTCTTTCTTTCTTTCTTTCTTTCTTTTTTGGCATTCTCGACAGGAAAAGAAGAAAAAAGCTCATTCTTTATGAAAGAAGTTTATTGGAAGAAGGCATGCGCCCCCCCTCCCCCCTTCCACCTTACGCAAACGTCCCTTTGTTTACACACTGTTTACACTCAGCTAACCAAACCTTACCTGAAGACCTTGTAAATACGTTTATTATCATGCATATTCTAAGAACTGATAATGCTAGTAATATCCTTAACACTAGCACGACTATTACATCATTAATAAGGCCACTATGTTATTGGTGCAATGATTGCTCCTGCTAATCTTACTACCACTGTTAATGCAGTTACTACCTCTATTAATGATAATAATCATATTGGTAATGATACAATATGAATAAGATAATGATGTAATAATAAAGATAATAATAAAAATTAAATTAATAAGGATTAATATCTCTTCAGATATATATGTCACTCATGTTGCTCTTTACAAAAAAAAAATAATAATAAATAAAAAGACCATTAGAAAAAGGCCATTAAAATTAATATAAAATGATTGATGTCTTGAAGCAACTGATGGAAAGAATCCACTTAGCAAGCCTGTTTTGCCGAAACTTGAGCCAAAAAGCATCTAACCTCACTTTAGCACATCAGAAGAACATGACAGATAAATATGATAGAGAAAAAAAATATGAATAGATAAACATATGGCATTCGCAAGGAAAACACTGCAGTATTTACAAACACATTTGGTTATATGTTCCTTTTCTATCTCACTCTGCCTCTACCTCTCTCTGTCACTGTCTCTGTCTCTGTGTCTGACTATGTCTCTGTCTGTCTCTGTCTATCTTTGCCTCTGTCTCTGTCTCTGTCTCTCTCCCTCTCTCCCTCCCCCCCCCCTCTCTCTCTCTCTCTCTCTCTCTCTCTCTCTCTCTCTCTCTCTCTCTTCCTGGGGGAATACCTCTGACCTTTCACAGCAGGATTTCTTGACAATTACACAATGCCATAAAGTGTCCATAAAACACCAGTAAAAATAAATGAAAAAAAAACAATGCGTTTTTTCATTTTTACTTTTTTCCTCTTTTCATTCTTCGTTGTCTATCTCTTCCTTTCCCGCTTACTCTATCCACCTTTACTCCTGTTTCTCATACACACATCAGCTTATCATTCCACCCATTTTTAACATACTAAAAATATAACTGAAATTTAAAACAATGAAAACAAACAAACAAACAAAAACAGAAAAAAATGGAGACAAAGAACAAAAAAGTGACCTAGTTCCAATGACCGCCTAACAGTGCCAGTAACAGTGCCGGTGCCATTACCAAGAGCAATGTTAATAGCAGTGCCAGGGGACCGACTTAAAAAACAACATGGCTCTCCTGGGAATTCGAGCGTCTTGTAAGAATCTTGGTGCTCTCGGCTGTCGTTGGTGGCAGGGATGAAAGACAGCGGAGGACAAAGGGCAAGGAGGAAGGAACAACGGAGGAAAGAGAAAACGGAAGAAGGGAGGGAGAAAGAAGAGTAGATAGGTGGTGAAGAGATGAAGAAAGGGGCGATGAGGAAAGAATAAAAGATTATGGGAAGCAACGCATTTCAGAAAGAGGGAAAAGAACATGGCAAAAAGGTAGAGAAGGAAGGAAGAGCGAACACGCGGGATAGAGAGAGGCAGAGAATATATAACAAGCCGGACGCAATGACGAGATTAGTGGCACTATTTCAATCCCTAGTGCCAGTGCCGTGTCATCAAGGCGGGCGTGAAGACGTAGGTAGGGAAGACAGAAAGAGAGAACGTGACAAGAGAAGGGCGAAGAAGGGAGAAGGGAAGAACGGAGAGGAGTGGGGAGAGGGAGAAGAGAGGAGGAAGGCCGAGATGGGGGGAGGGGAAGAGGGGGAAAAAGACGAAAAAGGAGGGAGGAAGAGAGGAAAAAGCCAAGACAGAAGAAGGAGGAGCAGTAAGAAGAGCGAAAAGAAGGAGAGAAAGATGGGAAGAGAAGAGGAGAGTAAAGACGGGGAAGGGGATGGGTACGCTATGGCAGAGGAATAGCATGGGTGAGATACAAGCAGTGTGTACGCAAGGGTGCCTCGTGGCTTGGCACCGTCGGGCGTGCCAAGTGACGGGCGTGAGTGGAGTACCGACGATAGTGTGTTCCTGGCCACCAGTGGCACTGCGGGGGGCTCGAGGTCGTGAATAGGTGGCACTCAGAAAGATGAATGCGAAGAAGACATTTACGGCGATGATGAATATAATCATGTTGAGTGGAGACTGAAAAAGACACAGATCAAAATAACTGAAGCAATTATGATGAGGTGGTAATGGCAGCGACATCGTAGTGATGATTGAAATAATTACAGAATAAGAATAATGATAGTGATAATGATGATAAAAATGATGATGATGATGATAATAACGCTATGATATTTCCTTGGAGGATAATAACAACAAAACAACAACGACACAACTAACAATAACAATAATAATGAGAATGAGAATAATGATGATTAGATTCTCTGGAAGCAAACCTAGCTACCACAGAACGAAAGGTAAAAAGAAAGAGCCAAAAAAAAAAAAAAAAAAGAAAAAGACAAGAGAAATGTGAGTTGGTGATACCCTAACCTTCTCAAGCAGTGATCGGAGGTCACATTACAACGGGGGAGAAAGAGGAAGAGGGAGAGAGGAAGAGAAAGAAGGAAGAGGAGGAGGAAGGAGAAGGGAAGAGAAAAGGGGAGAGGGGGAAGAAAAAAGGGCAGGGGAGAAGAGGGGAAGACAAAAAGGGCAGGGGAGGAGAGAGGAAGAAAAAAGGGCAGGGGAGAAGACGGGAAGAGAAAGGAGAAGGAGGCGGAAGGAAAGGGGAAGAGAAAGGCGACAGGGGAGGAGAGGGGAGAGGGAGAGAAAGAGATAAAAGAAAGTCATTGCTTGTCCATTAAAGAGGAAGTTAAGTAAAAGGCGGATAAGAGAAAGAAGAGAATAAACAGGAAGCGAAGAGTGGGACGGCCAAGAAGGCCAAGAACCCGTGGCACCCATCATCACGGCACCCGGGGGAGGGACAGGAGGGGGTGGCACCGCATGCAGAGCCAAGCCAAGGAGCGGGAGTGCCAGAGGACCAGCCACCCAGGCAGACGCACAGACAGACAGACGTACTTGAACCAACAGCTCTCGACCTTGGAGGGGGGGCGGGGGGAGTGCCAACCCCTCTTGGCACCCGATATATCATTCAGATGGTCATGGCACTCCGCAACAAGTGGGGTGGGAAAGAGGAAGAGGAGGAAGGAAGGATAAAGGGAAGAGGCGAGGGAGGTCTCTTAATGCATATATGTAATATGTTTATTAATAAATCGGTAAACAAAAAAACAGTAAATATATACATGTATCTGTCTGTGTATATATCTATATATATTTGCAAAAGCATATCTATGTAACTATATTCACTGTGTGTGTGTGTGTGTGTGTGTGTGTGTGTGTGTGTGTGTGTGTGTGTGTGTGTGTGTGTGTGTGGTGTGTGTGTGCGTGTGCGTGTGCGGTGCGTGTGCGTGTGCGTGTGCGTGCGTGCGTGTGCGTGTGCGTGTGCGTGTTGCCTACTTCAAATAATCAAATAATAGCAAACACCAGAACAAAAGCAAAGAAACCTCATCAACGTGAAGCAAGGGAGGCGAAGGAAAAACAAGAAAAGTCGAAGAAGCAAAAAAGTGAAAGCTCTCTTGGTATCATCATCAACTCAGCCTTTTTGTGCGGCCTCATACCTGGCAGCATACCTGGGAGATGACTGCTTATTGACACTGTTAAGATGAAAATTTGTTAAGAGATTCCTCGGGTACCTCGCACGCATATGTGCAGATGTGCAACCATATACGCATACATGGACACAGTTTGGCTATGAAACTGAAGAGGGAAGAAGGGAGGAGAGAGAGAGAGAGAGAGAGAAAGAGAGAAAGAGAAAGAAAAAAGAGAAGAGAAGAGAGAAAGAGAAAGAGAAAGAGAGAGTAGGAGGAGAGAAAGAGAGAGAAGAGAAAGAGAAAGAGAGAGGAGAGAGAGAGAGAGAGAGAGAGAGAGAGAGAGAGAGAGAGAGAGAGAGAGAGAGAGAGAGAGAGAGAGAGAGAGAGAGAGGAGAGAGAGAGAGAGAGAGAGAGAGAGAGAGACAGAGAGAGACAGAAGAGACAGAGAGAGAGAGAGAGAAGAGAGAGAGATAGAGAAAGAGAGAGAGAGAGAGAGAGAGAGAGAGAGAGAGAGAGAGAAGAGAGAGAGAGAGAGAGAGAGAGAGAGAGAGAGAGAGAGAAGAGAGAGAGAGAGAGAGAGAAAGAGAGAGGCAGCAAGGGAATAACAGATAGACAGAAAATATGAAGACAAAAAACAGAAAATGATTTAGCGTTATCATTTCCAGAGCATATTCCTGCATATATCTACATGAATAAATAATATAAATAACACACGTCGGCATCCTTCTCTTCCCTCATCCCGTGCGTAAGTGAGCAGGTGGGCACAGGAATATGCTAATTTTTTTTTCTGTTATCGCTTGATCAACTCATCAGACGTCATCATAATTACAATTCATGAGATTACTGACATATCGCTTTTAAATTGCTATATTGGCATCTTGGCATCCATCAAAAAGTCGTTACGCTTAATCAAAAGAGCGAGGGAGAGAGAAAGAGAGAAAGGGGGATGGAGGGAAAAGAAGAGAGAGAGAGTGGGAAAATGAGGGAGCGAAGGTAAAGCGAAGAAAAAAAAGGGATATATTCCAACCTCTTTCAAGAAGCAAGATTTTCTCTTAGTATTAAAAAAATATCGGGTTTAACAAAAGAAAAAAACTGAAACCGACATTACCATATTACAATATTACAAAAAAAAAAAAAAAAATATAATAATAAAATAAAAAAATAAAATAAAATAAATAAATAAAAATGAAAGACACAGAAAATGGTAAAACCGGGTTTTCTTACCCCCTCCCCCCTTCCCACCCGTTCCCCCCCTTTTCCCCTGTTCTCACCCCTCCCTCCCTCCTCCCACTCCTCTCGTCCTCCTTTCCCCTTTTCCCAGGTTACAGACACAACCATGACTCCTCGCTAAAAAATGACCGACGACGGAAGACGAGGGACGACAAAGAATAAGGAATAAAGACCTGGGAAAGGAAACCGTAATTTTTCCCTCTTTTTCGCTTCTCCCCCGATAGACGGAAGGCAGGGTGGGATACCCCCCCGCCAGGAGAAGGCTTCTTTTTTTGTCCTGAAGGCAGGTCGATGAGTATAGCGGATAGTGGAAGGAGGTTGGAAAAGGGGGGACGATATGGGAGGGGGAGCGAAATACCGATTATTCTAAATTCATATACATAACATGTTTCTATATATATATAGCTGCATAGCCTTACAGGAGCAATCCACCAACCCTTATTCCACCAGCACACACCACACAAAGATTCGGTGCTAGGCGTGGCACACACACACACACACAAGCACACGAACTACACACACACACACACACCACCCACACACCACAAGTACACAATCGCACCGCGTATACACAACTAGTGAAACGGACTCACATGCCACACACACATGACCACGAAAACAAACACGGTAAGCGAGGCGTTGTACGACGAATTATCACGGCCATACAAACAAATAAACTCAACCTGCATACACATATCGAAACACAAGTACAAAGAACAACAAAACATCACACCCAGAGAATCTCCCACCGCATAAAAACACAAATCACAATGGGCGAGCGGCGGCACAGGCCCGGGCACAGGCACGCACACGCACGCACACACATTGAGTGGCGCGACCCACCATCAGCACAAGCAGCACAATCACCACTACACACACACACGCAGCAGCACAAACACCCGGTACACAACAGCACACACACACACAGCACAGACACCACACACAACACCACACACACACGACATCGTATAGCACACACGACACAGCGCGGGGCGGAGCAGCGGGGAGGGGGAAGCGGAAGGTGAGGCGAGACACGCGCGCAGCGGAAGCGCCAGAACCGTCACAGATGTTGCCCATCGGACGGCCTCCCTCACCCGAGAACGCTTTCCATCACGCTCCGTTCTCCTGCTCCTTCGGTCTCCCCTCAATAGCGCCCCTTTCCCTTGAGCCTCCTCCTCTCTTACTCCTCCCTCTCCTTCTCTTGACCACTCACTAACGCCCCTTTCCCTCTTCCTCCCTCTCTTACTCCTCCCCTCGCCTGCCTTGCTCTCCTTTCGATCGTTATCGATCTCTTATCTGTTCTGCCTTCCCCTTCCCCTCTCCTCTCTTCCTTCTCTCCCTATCCTCACCTT